AGTTTTGCATGAATTGGGCATAAAATGTGCTCTGAACGTCATCTAAGTCACAACATGGAAGAACACCTTAGCTGAACATAATACTAACATTTTGCCATGGTTTAATTGCACTAACATGTAAACATTCACAGTGCTGGGAGGCTCAAAAGTATTTAGATTCAAGCTTAATGACTTTTCCCAGAGCTAATTGGAGCCAGGATGATGACTCCAATCAGTGTGATGATATTGGATGTGTTGCTGACAGCTGTCCTGCTCTTAAAAAACACACACCTTTTGAGTTTACTGGTTTCAACAAGCACTGTCTGATGTGAACCATGCCACGCAGAAAAGAGCTCTCAGAAGACCTACGATCAAGAATTGTTGACTTGCATGAAGCTGGAAGGGTTACAAAAGTATCTCCAAAAGCCTTGATGTTCATGTGTCCACGTAGACAGACTGGGAGAAAGTTTAGACTGTTGCTACTCTCCCTAGGGGGGTCGTCCTGTAAAAATGATTGCAAGAGCACAGCGCAGAATGGCATGAGGTAAAAAAATCCCAATTAAAAGACCTACAAAATCTCCACATGCTAACCTCTACAATAAGGAAAACATTAACCAAGAATGGAGTACATGGGAGGACACCACGGAGGAATCCATTTGCTGTCTAAAAAGAATATTGCAGCACGTTTGAAGTTTGCAAAAGAGCACCTGGATGTTCCACAGCACTACTGGCAAAATATACTGTGGACAGATGAAACCAAGATTGAGTTGTTTGGGAAGAACACACAACACTATGTGTGGAAAAAAAAAAAAGGGCACAGCACACCAACATCAAAACCTCATCCCCACTGTAAAACATGGCGGAGGGAGCATCATGGTTTGGGGCTATTTGCTGCCTCAGGGCCTGGACGGATTGTTGTCATTGATTGAATTTTTTATCAAGACATTTTGCAGGAAAACGTACGACCATCTGTCCGCCAACTGAAGCTTGGGTGATCAGGACAATGACCCTAAGCATCAAGTAATTCAACAAAACAATCTGCAACAGCACAGAATACTTCTGGATGGCCCAGTTCCTGACTTCAACCCAATTGAAATTTGGCATGACCTTAACAGAGGATTCACACCAGACATCCCAAGAATATATACACTGAAACAGTTTTGTGATGGTGCAAAATTACTCCAGATCGTTGTGCAGGTCTGATCTGCAACTACAGGAAAAGTTTATATTGATTATTGCAAAGGAGGGTCACAGTTATTAAGTCCAAAGGTTCACATACTTTTTCCTTCCTGCACTGTGATGTTTACATGTTATGTGCAATTAAACCATGGTAACATCTAATGTTTGTGTATATTATGTTCATATGTGTTCTTCTATTGTTTATTATATATATATATTTTATGCCCAATTCATAAAACTATAATATTCACATATATTTCTTGCAACTGTATATATATATTCTGCTATACAGTGGTTGTGCCTTGTTGTCCCTATTCTCCCTGCAAGTCTGTAGGTCAGCTCCAGTCTGAATGAAAATGTCAGCCTCTCTATATAGCTAACTGAACATATGTCAACAGTTATTAAGACTCCATTCACAATGTATGTAGCACTAAAAATAAAAAGGATGTGTTTTTCAAGTCAATGTCCTCTGATGGCTAAAGCCTGCTTTCAATTACTGTGGCTTGAGTTAGTCCATTGTAAATGTGAAAACAACAATGTGTACTTACAGCACATGTTCTGACTGTCATTTTAAGCATGCAAGCAGGCTTTATGAGTGTTTTCATGCAAGCAAGAAGTCTCTGACAGTCTTTTGTTACATGCAAGCAGTCTCTGACAGTTTTTGTTACTTGCTAGCAGTCTTTGACATTGTCTTGTTACCTGCAAACAGTCAGTCATGTACAGTCTTGTGTTACATGTGATAGTTTCTGATAGTCTGTTTTAATATGCAAACAGTTTTTGAGTACATTCTGGGACATATTTTAAGAAGTCTTTGACAGTCTATTGCAACATGCGAACTGTAACAGTACATTGCAGAAAATGTTGGTTAACCCACAACTGAAAAAGTTGAAATGTAATCACTAAACAATTTCCTTAAATGTGTCTATCTTTTGCATGATAAGAATTAGCCTTGGCTGATAAATAATGCCTACTAAGTCATGGCCATATACAATGTACAATAAGCTATAGCCACTTTCTACAGTGGGGCTCTGTGCATACTACTAGTAGGTGGACACTTGCATTTTCTCTGGTGGGCTCCAGGTACCCAACACTTCTTGTATAATAATAATACTAATTAATTATGATAATAGCTTCATAATGTAACTGGGTAGGACATTGAAGGCAGGAGGACATCAAGTACAGTGTGTGTCTGAAAACCTGCCTATCCTGGCCTCTGCCCGACATCATCAGTCACACCTACAAGTAATTCTAAACCTTTAAACTTTTTTATTATTTTAAATAACAAACATGTTATATTTCCCTGCTCTGTGCAATGGTTTTGGATTGAGCAGCCCCGATCGTCCTCTTATGGGGTCCCCCGCACTCCTGGTTCCTCCTGCCTTCTGAGTACCCCCCGTCAAGCCATTTGCTAGGGGGTATGTGTGTGGGTTTGCTCCTGAGCCAAGCTGCCTGTGTCCGTAGACACAGGCAGCAAGGCTTTGCCCCACCCCTGCCTTCTACATAGGATTTGATTGACGTATAACCCAAAGGTTTAAGACTTCCAGTGTTCCTCAATGGAACCAAAGAAAGGATTTTACAGTGAGTACAAAAATCCTATTTCCTTTGTTTGGATAGCCAGTGCCCCTAACAGACATACACATGTGGCCACCCCTAATTTCATTATCTTATCTCAGCCTTGGAGAAGCCAGGAGGGATGGAGAAGATAGAGCTGCTCCTCTCATGCACAGCGCTGGATCAAGATCAGGCTCAGGTAATTATAAGGAAGGAGGTGGGGGGCTGGGGCTGGCATAGAAAGTTTTTTTTATATTGAGGATAATGCATTAAGGGAAAAAACCGTATGGCTTTAGAACCACTTTCAATTGCCCCTTATCCAGCCTACTTCCAGAACCACTTCCAATTCCGGCAGTGCACACTATAAAGCATTTTATGCATTTCCTTTTACAATAAGTATGTCCAACCAATAAAGTTGCAATACTCCCTTTAGCCAAAATCTGGTGTGGCATAGGAATTGTGAGCAGAAAAAGGTTTACTTTAACATCAGCTCCACGTACAACATGAAACGCTTTTGTGAAACTTTTTTTTTTTTCAAGCGCATCCTTGTAGTTTTATGATGTACTAGTCGTACTGCTCATCAAAGGGTAATTCGATTGGAAAGAAACAAACATCATCAAAATAAGCACAAGTGATGCATTTAAATATAAAAAGAATCCATAAATGAGCAGAATAAGTGTGAAAAAGTGAGTTAGAATGCCACACTGTATTTTAAATCTATCCTGACTTTCATGTGTCTCTAAGTCTAGCATTATTGTACTGTTACAGTAGTCATATGCTACAGTGTGTGATCTTTTACCAAAGAAAAATTCAAATGAAGATAACGATTTTCTGCCCCAGAGAGATTGTTGCGTTCTAAGACAAGGCACTATCATTAGAGTGATAATAAATGTACAGACTTATCCCATAACTAATAGAGAATAACAATTTCACATTATATAAAGTTCAATATAAAAAAAATAGCCTGAAAATCTTTACAATAGAAGTGGGTGAAAAAAAAACATTGAATAATATGAAATGTATTCAAATGCAAGTTCAAGCTACCAGTGGAAATAATTAAGAATGTAAATTCCATTATCTCGACAATAATGGAGCTAAAGAAACAGATAAAAGAATGTATGTTATTTTATAATCTTAGTGAAACAAAACACTGTCATGCAAGTCTATTACTCAGGGTGTCAATAATTTAATTAGGCTCTGAAATATACACTTTAATTGTACGAATTTCCAAACGTGTCTTTATAACGAGCTATTGAAAGTGGAAACAGATTCGTTTCTGGGAAGAGAAAATGTGCTTGCCTGCTTCATCTGCATTATATACATGCCACAAATCATGTTAGGAGCTAAAAGCAATTGTGTATCCGTTTCTACTGCAAATTGCGGGCCCTGCAGACATTTTGCTCAGTTTGGTGAATGAGAAATTCTCATTCTTTGTCTTTCTTTGTTTTCATTCACTAGAGACGTTCAAGGTTATCTTTCATATTCAATACTTAAAGGGGTAAGTACATCTCTAAAAGTTAAAGATTTGGGTTTACTATAGAGAATGAAAGTATTAGATTGTAAGCTCCTTGAGGGTAGGGGCTGATGTGAACTGACAATATGTATGTAAAGTGCTGCATATATCATCGACACTATATACATACCTGTAAAAATTAAATAAATATGTGAAACGTTACCTTATAGAACTGTAGAATGGCCCATTCAGTTTAACCACTAGCCTACAGGGCACTTATACCCCCTTCCTGCCCAGGCCAATTTCCAGCTTTCAGCGCTGTCGCACTTTGAATGACAATTGCGCGGTCATGCAACACTGTACCCATATGACATTTTTATCATTTTTTTGTGACAGATAGAGCTTTATTTTGGTGGTATTTAATCACCTCTGGGTTTTTTATTTTTTCTTAAACAAACCAAAAGCCACTAAAATTGTAAAAAAAACACGTTTTTTTCTTAGTTTTTGTTATAAAATTTTGTAAATAAGTGTTTTTTCTCCTTCACTGATGTGCGCTAATGAGGCTGCAGTGATGGGCACTGATAGGCTGCACTTATTGACACTGATAGGTGGCACTGATGGGCACTGATGAGGAGGCACTGGTAGGGGGCACTGATGAGGAGGCACTGGTAGGGGGCACTGATGGGCATTGACAGGCATCACTGATGGGCACTGAAAGGCAGCACTGATACATGGCACTGATAGGCGGCACTGACTGGCACTGATAGGCAGCACTGACTGGCACTGTTAGGCGGCACTGACTGGCACTGTTAGGCGGCACTGACTGGCACTGATAATTGGCACTGACAGGCAGCACTGACTGGCACTGATAGGCGACACTGACTGGCACTGATAGGCGGCACTGACTGGCACTGATAGGTGGCACTGATTGGCACCGCTGATAGGTGGCACTGATTGGCATTAATGGGTGACACTGACTGGCACTGATGGGTGACACTGAAAGGCAGATTGGCACTGATATGTGGCATTGATGTGGCACTGATGGGCACTGACACAAGGCACTGATGGACACTGACAGGTGGCACTGCTGGGGCTACACTGATCATCAGGACACACTGATCATCAGTGCCCTGATGATCCCTGTACATGTCCCCTCCGCGGAAAGCCGATTACTGGTTCTCCTCTCCTCTCGAGCTGTCAGCGTAACAGCTCGAGACGAGAGAAATGCAGTTAACCGGCATTTCCCTGTTTACATGTGATCAACTGTGATTGGACACAGCTGAGCACATGACCGAGCCGACATCTTCGGCTCTTTCCGTGATCGGTGATCTGCTGTGTCCGAGGGACACAGCGCACCGCCGATCGCCACGCTACGCACTCCTTGAGCCGCGCATGCGCGGTGAGAAGGGGAGGACGTCATATGACGTCCTCCCAGAACGAGAGAACCACCTTGCATCCGTCATATTACTATATGGTGGGCGGGAGGTGGTTAAAATAGAAATGAAAACATTTGTATAAATTGCTGTTTATATCATTTTAAATACTTTTATTTTTCCTATTTTTATAAGTGATCACGTGACCTCTTTTCTCAGCTGCATAAGAGGCTTAGAGAGCTGAGGGTACAGACTGCAAAGGGGCATGTCAGCAGTAGGCAGAGAAACTGCAGTACACTGATCTTCCCAATGAAGAGCTGTGCTGGGAGGTGTGTCAGCACAGATCTTGCCCATTTGGAGAACAGGCAGGCTGTGTTCCCAGCACATCCAGAAAACTACCCACAAAGGGAAGGATGTACTTCTATGTCTGGCATGGTCACTTTGAAAAAGGTAAGCAGGGAGACTGGCAGGATCACCAGGTATTTCACACAAAGAAAGCAATACAAAGATAACAGGATACTTTTTTAGCACAAGTATATGGTACAACAGACATATCAGGAATATGAAATGTTGGGGTAACATATACCTTAAACTAAAATAGATTTTTTAAAATGGAGTACTTTGAGATTGCAAGTTATAAATAGTACACCCTTGTAAATCTTCGATACCGTTTGCATTATCCATATTGTGTATTATCATATGCCATCTTGCCGAGTATAGCTGTTCACACACTGGTAGACTTTTGAATAAATGTTTGTATGAACATTTGTATGAAAATTCTTATCAGGACAAATGAAGACATAATGAATGTTGTTTGAAAGTACTTAAAAAATGATTGCTTTTAATATTGCAATAAATGGATTTTCCCAAACAAAATCTACGTTCACTGTTAGAAATTTGTTCATTTTAGAAAAGAAAAAGTTCCATCCTGCTTCTTTTAATTTTCTCATCACTGCAGTTGATAATAAATGTTGAGTTGACCCCACAACGATTAGAAAATCTGATGCTTCTAATGCAAATATAGAGGAAGTAAAGCAAGCCTATGACCTCTGAGCCAGCAGAGATCAGTCTAGAACAGAGATGGCGAACCTTTTTGAGCCCGAGTGCCCAAAACTGCAACACAAACCAACTTTTTTATTTCAAAGTGCCAACACTGCAATTAACCACTTGCCTACCTGGACGCACTGACAGACGGCACTGATCGGTGGCACTGCTGGGCATCATTGATGGGTCGCACTGATGGGCAGCACTGATGGGCGACACTGCTGGGCACTGACATGTGGCACTGCTGGGCAGCACTGACAGGCGACACTGCTGGGCACTGATGGGTGACACTGCTGGGCACTGATGGATGACACTGCTGGACACTGCTGGGCATCATTGATGGGTGGCACTGATGGGCAGCACTGATAGGCGACACACTGACAGGTGGCACTGGGCACTGACAGGTGGCACTGCTGGGCAGCACTGACAGGCGACACTGCAGGGCACTGATGGGTGACACTGCTGGGCACTGATGGATGGCACTGCTGGGCATCATTGATGGGTGGCACTGATGGGCAGCACTGATGGGCAATACTGCTGGGCACTGACATGTGGCACTGCTGGGCAGCACTGACAGGTGGCACTGCTGGGCAGCACTGACAGGCGACACTGCTGGGCACTGATGGATGGCACTGCTGGGCATCATTGATGGATGGCACTGATGGGCGACACTGCTGGGCACTGACAGGCGACACTGCTGGGCACTGACAGGCGACACTGCAAGCAGTTAATCTCACCTCTGGCAGCGTCGGTGTGGCTTCCAACCCAGCAGCTCATTCCCATCCACTCTGAACACGTTGCCCCTGGCCCCGGAGCAGTGTGGGAGCAGTGTGGGAGCCTCTTCCTCTCTTCCGCGCCAATCCCCGGGTACATCACCCCTGGTGCCAGAGCCGCATTGGAGCCGTTTCCTCTTGTCCACGCCCACCCTGGCCCCAGAGACATGTGGGAAATGTAGTTTGATGGGGGTCCAGTGTGGACGAGATCTGGATGGCCGGTCCATGCGCGCTCATCATGCTCTTCTTCCTGGCGTGCCCACTGAGATGGCTCTGCGTGCCAGCTCTGGCACGCGTGCCATAGGTTCGCCATCACTGGTCTAGAAGGTCATAGAGGATCCTAGGTCCTACTATTACACCTGCTGTTAGCTTCAAAAAGCAAAGGTTTATAGTTATGCATGCATTTACTATTTTTAACACGCAATTTCAAGATAATTGCAAAAAAATAAATAGACAAAGAAGAAAAAAACATTAAAACTTGTTTTTTCTTTAAAATATACATTTTAAGTGCTGTGTAATGGGACCAACTAAAATGTGAAGTGTTGGTCTCTCATAGCATTAAAGTCACTAATCATATAGCCTTAGTACAGCTGCATACTACCAACTGTCCTTTATTTGTTGGAAACCTCCTTCTTTTTACTCAGTTGTCTCGTGATGACTGTGTTGTAGACTGTGTTCCGGGATTGCAGGTTGACACATAAGCATCCCCAACACCAGGAACCCGGGAACATCTCACGCGTCCAAGGTCCCGAGGCCGTAAACCACCCACACTTTTAAATTTGCCAATTTTTGCTTCTGAGCCCGGCGTGCCTTGGACCTCAGATTCTGTAGCTGTTAGTGACCAAAAGTAGCAGGCAGCTTTTGGGATAGAGTCAGAAGCAGAAGGACCCTTCATACAGATTGTATCATCTGCTCAATTCACTGTCTTTAGTTCCTAATATTTAAAAAAAATAGGTTGCGCTTAAATACATACAAAAGTATAACAAGAAAATAAATAACAAAACAATAAAAAACAATATTATAAATCAAAATAAAATCCAGCAAAAATGAAAAAGTTCAAATAATCAATAATGTCCAAAATAATTAATCACCAAGTAAATCCACCACCAAAAATGATTAAATAGAACTCACCAGAGTAATGTGCTGATTGTTGAAAAACCAGCATATAGTACTTGTTATTCTGGGAGAAATGAATAATTCAAGTACTATATGCTGGTTTTTCAACAATCAGCATATTACTCTGGTGAGTTCTATTTAATCATTTTTGGTGGTGGATTTACTTGGTGAATAATTATTTTGGACATTATTGATTATTTGAACTTTTGGACTTTTTTGTTTTTGCTGGATTTTATTTTGATTTATAATATTGTTTTTTATTGTTTTGTTATTTATTTTCTTGTTATAATTTTGTATGTATTTAAGCGCAACTTTTTTTTTTGAAGTGTTGTATATCCTATAAGTTTATAGGCTAGGTTTTGCAGCTTACTGTGTTATATCATTTCCGTGGCGCTGGTTCTTTATTTATTTATATATATTTAGTTCCTAATAGTTTAGCTCACTTCATCTTGACTCTTTACTCTACCCTTTACCTTCATGTTGCAGAGTGGTCACTCCATTGCTTCAGCCAGCAGTGCCCAGCAGCAGTAGTCAGTGCAGCCAAGCATATATTTCTGAGCAGACCTGAACTATATTAGTCGAAACAGCAGAAGGAGCCCCAGCACAGGACAGCATGAGCCAATTATTGAGTCCCCTACTGAGTATCAATGTCCCCTCCCTCCAGTGAGAACCACTACCCTCTGTCCTCCCCAGTGAGCAGCAAATTCCCCACTGAGCACCAGTGCCCCTCTGCCCCCTCCCACTGAGCTCCAATTCTCCCTGTTTCCCCACTGAACACCAGTTACCCCATGCGCTCCCCCCCACTGAGAACCAATGACCGCCTGACTCCTACTGCTAAGCACCAATGCCCCCATGTCCCCCCATTGTCTCCTAATGCCCCCGCTGCTTCCCACTGAGCAATAGTGCCCTCTTAAAAATGTTACTAAACCTACAACAGTAAAATCAGTCAGTATATGCATTAAAGCATGCTTGGTATACTCACTGCGGAACCTAATAGGTTAAAAATCTGTTTGATTCTGTCTTCTCTGATCCACGCCTTCTTTACTGTCCCCAATCCATCTGCCATAGTACAGAGCAGCAGTGGCAAGTCTGCACATGCTCTGTTTGGTGTGTATTGCTAGAGAGGTTTTTTTGGGGGGCGGAGGGTGTATGTGATCAGCACAAGGCCAATCAGCACTGTCCAGGTAAGGGATCGGGGTCATGCAGCCTCATAGGATAGTCAGAGGAGAATGAAAACTCAGCCTACAAGATTAACCAGTGCTCGGCTGGATACTGATAAAAGACTCCTCTAACCGCTGATGAGAAAAGGTATTTAGCAGTTTACTAAAACAATGCATTTCCATATTCTGTGTACTGTGGGAGACAGGATTTAGTGAATGTAGGGTCTTGAGTTTAGTAACACTTTAACTCCCCACTGAGAACCAGTGACCCACTACCACCTCACAACAACCCCCTCCTTGTTCCCCATTGAGCCACAATGTTCATTCTTTATATCTACTGAGCACTAAAGCTCCACCTTTCCCCAGAAGGAACACCAGTTATTGTTTCTTACTGATAACAAGACATTTTTTTTTCCATCTGATCACCAACTGGAGCACCTCACATTGATCACAGATGGTGGGCATTTCTTTCTTCTTAGCTGACTGTTGCTGCTGACCATTTTTTTCCTCCTGCTGACCACTGATGACAGGCATTTTTTTCCTTCTGCTAACCAAAAACCCAAAGAATTTTTCCTCCCGACTAGCAGTATAATGGGCACTATGATAGATGGCCACTGCACACCATATATTGTGTTTTACATTAGGTTGTGCTGACCCCTCTACTTTATATATTGTGTTGTACATTACAATAGTGCTGACCACTGCACATTGCACACTACATCAGTCTTAACCAAAATCTTTAGTACCTCAACAGTTGCTGGTTTTAACTCTCGGTCCTTACTCTGCTTTATTTTTTCAAAATGATTGTTTACGTTTCTAGGTGTCTGAAACTCTCCATAGTGGAACAGTAATTGTGAAGTATTTTGTGGATACACGGATTGTGCCTATTAGTCCAGTAAAGGTTTCCAGCAGTGCTGTGCTTGATTTAGAATTCCCCACATTGTAATGCATCCTAACTAGTTTTATTACACAGGATTTTTGTCACCTGCAAAACCTTCAACCCATCAGCAGCCACAATAGGTGTCACGGTACTCTGCAGAAAGGCCAGTGTCAAATCATGTTTTCTAAATATTTTATGCCAAATGTGTTTGCAGTGTAATTGCTGTTTATCATTGTATTCTCTGCAAGAGCTGTGTTGGGTTGCTGCACTTTAAATAGACTATTCGAACTCAAAGTTGTAGTTAGCCAAACAACCGCATGAATAATTTTACTAATGAACGATATCATCATGGCTTTGTTTCTTTCCTTATTGTGAGAAATCTTCTGCCATATACTGTTATTTAAAGTTAAATTGTACAGTCGGCTAATGATAGGTTTCCTGTAGAACTACACCCATTCTGATGCATTATTGAAATTACATTCACATCCTGCAATGGGGTTTATTTACTAAAGCTGGAGAGTGCAAAATCAGACTCACTTCTGCATCGAAGCCAATCAGCTTTGAGGATTATTGCCAAAGCTTAACTGAACTAGCTGAGGTTAGAAGCTGATTGGTTTCGATGCAAAAGTGAGTCTGATTTTGCACTCTCCAGCTTTAGTAAATAAACCCCAATGACTTGCTGGATGCACAGCAAAAGAAGTGTCCCTGGAAATCTCTTTGTAAGCTCCAAGGAGCAGGGCCCTCCTAACCCTCTTGTATTGAACTGTATTGTTGCTGTATTGTCTCCCTTTATTTTGTAAAGCACTGAGAAAACTGTTGGCGCTATATAAATCCTGTATAATAATAATAATAATAATAATGATTTTAAAATGTTGACAACTATGCAATTGCTAATACACAGACTATAGGTTGTGGACTTCTATGGATGAAAAGATGGCGTGGGACTTTAATGAATCTCCAGCCATGCACAGACCTCTGATGTGAGGTTCATTAAGTGAACCAAATGGCACTTCGGTGAAGACTGTATAACTATAATGCATCTTGGTTTCTGTAGCTCTTAGGAAGGTGACATAGCCCATTGATTTCCACATTTAGCTGAAAATGGAAAACAAATGGTTGCATTCAGCACCTTAGTAGATCTAAATCCTAATGGAATTGCTAAAGCACTGTGCATTTTAAACAGTTTCCACTTCTCATTAATATAATACTGTTTTCCACTTTTCTTATTATCCCTTGTTGCATCTCAGGGCTGTTGACCTCCAGCCTCTTTGCAACAACTTTCTGTCTACATGCACTGCTCAGGGCCACCTTTCTGTTTGTGACAACAGAGAAACATGTCTGTGCAATGTGCATTGATGCATCTGCTTGTAGTCTACTTCAGGAGCATGTGTTACAGGGTGACAATGTAGAAGAGCAGTTCGGGGCAGGGGCAGACTGACCATTTGAGGGCCCGGGGTCAGTAGGGGACCCCATGGTACCTTTTTTTATAGGCTTTTTGAGTGTGGGCAAGGACACAGGGGCCCCATGATCCCCTATTGCCCGGGTGCCCCATGAGTTGTCAGTCCACCCCTGGTTCGGAGGCAGGGACAAAGTGTTTTCACACAATAACAAGAAGCGTCTGAACAAGAACGATCATTGGCAGGATGACATGAGCAATTTAATCTTAACTAC